TCAGTTCTCCCTTGAATAGACCCCTATATATATATATATATATATATATATATATATATATATATATATAGAGGGATGTTATTTTACACCATTTGCCATTCCTACACCCTATACAACCCTCATCTCAACCGTTCAATGATTAATCAATTAATTGTTTCCAAATATAAAGTATTAATCATAATTAATAAACTCTATTCATATTTCATAAATATTCAAACCATAATAAATGAATTTCAATCATTTCTATAAATATCTCAATTAATTGGGTTGCAAAGGTTGTACAAATACACAAGGTTGTAAAAGAAAAATATGTATAATCATGAGGTGTATTATGAGAATTGTATATTAATTTTTTATATATTAATAAGGTTTGTATATTAATTTTTTATCATATCAAACTTTGTAATTGATCCAAAATCATAAAAAAATATGTGGAAAAAATGATTATAATCATGAGGTGTATTATGAGAATTGTTTATCATAATACATATCAATTTATCTCCTACATATATTCTCATAAAATATTTATATTCACTAAGCAAACATTATGTTGTTACCTACTTTAATATAATTATTGAATATTTTTACAATTTGCTTATATTAGTTCATGATATACTCATGTAATCTTTCATGGGCCAGAAACCATTTTGAAATCCATTTTTTTTCTACATGCGATTGCACAAATTGGGACAATAATAGCTAGTATTATGACTATTCCAGATACATAAGAGTTTGATTGATTTGTTATTTTTTTCATTTGACTTGTCAAAAAATTTAGATTTGTTTTACACAGTTCATAGTTTGTTTTATCTGTAAAAAAATCCTGAAAAATGAGGTTTTTAATAAAATTATGTAAAATAAAATATATGTATTATATTGATTATAATGTTAATTATATATAGAGTTTGATTTTTGATTAAATAAAAAATTGATTATATATATATATATATATATATATATATGAGCCTAATCAAATGAGAACTAATTAGTTTGTGGTAACTGTGAGAACCGATATTAACCACCAATCAATAGATAAATTAGGAACTTTATAATTTTGGCAATTTTGAATTAAAATTTTAATGCAAGGATATTTTTGGTATTTTACAACTTTCCTCCCTCCTCTCTTCTCTCTCCGGCCACCGTCCT